AGCATTGTGGCTCGTCTAGAAAAGCAGGTGTATCGATAGACATGATAGGTTTATATAAACATGCGGTTTTAAGCTCTAATGACTCAAATGAAAACTAGTTCAGATAATGTTTCAAAAGACCTACCCAGTGTTACCAAGTGGACTGACTTCCACAGTGAATACTGCTGTGTGCAGACAGGGGACAGGTGTGCAGCTCACACCAGAATACAGTTTGTGGGGTTCATCTTGACTTGTGCAAGCATGTTTGTTTGTTTGTTTGTTTTTTAAAAGATGTTTATGCACCATCTTTCTCTCCAGCAGGTGGCAGTGACATCTTCTTTATAAATGTAATACTTCAGTTGAGGCTTTTAAAGCAGATTGACAACTTATTATATATATAAAAAAAGATGACACCTTTCCCCCTGCAGATATAGATCTCATGTGGCACTCATCTGTACTACTTTCAGCCATTTTAGTCTTTTTTTTTTTGTTTGTTTCTAGAAAATATTCAGGGATTTTAAGAGACAAGGACAAAGAAAGAAAAAAAGATATAAAGGTTACTCAGAGACAGCCACCTGCTGGTTGTTGGAATTTGCCCCAGGATTCTGCAAATAGTGTAATAGTAAAAAAATATATAGGAGGGGTCATATATGGTGCATATAAGGATCCGAGCCCAGAGTGTACCTTGAGAGATGGTTTTTGGCACAAACCTGAGATTTGTAATAGGGTGGTGGGAAAGTTCCTGATTTAAATCCTGGCTGAGGCCTTTCTGTGTGGAGTTACGATGTTTCTTCCATGTTAATCAGTCCAAAGACATGCATGTTAGGTGTATGTGAGGCAAATTAATACTTGAAGTGTACAGAATAAAATGCTGTATACATTTTTAAGATAATAAGATTATAAAAACAACTGAGTTGCCATTTCACTGAGTGTGGGAAATGCATACCACAGATTTAAGGTTTCTTACCACTGCTTTGAATACACAGACTAGTTTGTAATAATTTTAATATTTTTTTTGCTCCGTTAATTCATATTTAATTAAACCTGATCATTATAGATAAGGAGAATCTTTTAATACAGCAGTGAGAACAGTGTTTATAAGTTGTGCTTTCAGTGAAATGTATTCAAATGATTAAGACTGTTATGTTTTCATGTCTAAGTTAAACACAATGTTGTGTGATAGTAGATGTTTTTCTGCTCCCTGCTCTGAAGCATTAACTAAAATTTCATCTGTGGTGGAATTTTCTGTTAATAAAATCTGCAACACAATCAGCTGTGGCCAAGCTACTGAAATTACTGCATGCAGGAGAGCAAACACAGACATCAAACAGTTATACAGTCAGGAGAGCTCTAAAACAGAAGTGGAGCTTCCACTCCTTTATGCATTCCAAAGAAGAGGGAAGGAAGTCATAAGCTGATCATAACACATATCACGCGGCTCGCTATGAAACCTAATGGAACAATGGGTATGCTGTTTCATGCCTTTGGCGTTATCAGCAGCTGCAGAGGGAGTTGTTTTCTTCAACTACTGAGGCTTAAA